CCAGACACCAACTGGATACTGATAAATCAAATTAGTGCTACACCAAATTCAACACTTCTCCACAATTGCAAATCTGAGAATTGTATTTTCTTGATTGGTGTCAGAATTTGATCAGCTCGATATAGTCCCGCGACGTGAATTTGCTTTTATATAACAATGAGTGAAAAACAGAGTGTACAAGTACTGATAAACACTCGCGCCAGAGTGCATATACACACGCACACCGTACGTTCGCTACAAATGTCACCGATTAGATTGGTACAGGCCGGTTCAAGTTCGGGTAGGACGGATTAGTATTCCTCAACAAATGTATGAAAATGAGACGAGAAACCGAGAGGCTTATCGTAGGGTGGCGGATGTCTAGCAGCCCACAATATGAGAAAGAATAACAGAAAACTACTGTTCTATGATAAACGAATCGTATTGAATGTGCTTTTTGTTTTCGCCCTGGTTTAGTTAAATGGCCTAACAACGTTTGATTGTCGTGTGCCGATTTACCTCCAGTTGTCGACTCTCTAATAACCACAGACTCCCGGGCTTACCATGATCACCATTACGTAACTTAAAATGAAACCATTCAGTCGTGAACCACGAAAGATCGTGCGGTTCATTTGAGCGAAACACTGGGTTTTCAATGGTCAAAAACAGACAAGGTGTTTCACTGTTTTACGCAGTTATCTGGATTTAGTGAACCAATCCATTCTGATCGTTTCTCCAACCATCCGGATGTCATCATCGACCCACTTTCACTTCGGTGAACCATATAAAGTAGTCCGTTGCCTGCGGGCGATAAATTCAAACTTCAATTATGCATCTATTACGACATACCACAATTTATTTCTAACTTTTGCATGCTGCTTTGCTGGTATCAGAGAATAAAACCATTTTAAAAAACAATGAAACATTTTTATTTTCAGACTATTTGCCCTTACCCCAGTATATTTTGTCTCCCCAAAGGATTATGTTGACTAGATGAAAATTTGCTCTATTGTGAACATATACAACCAATCTCCTGTTGTCTTACCCATGTAAAGTTGCAACTTCCATCACGTTTCAACTATTTAGCAAACCCAAATAATAAGTATTTTTGTATATTTCATGCGTTGATCTTATGTGGCAGGAACGAGAGTATTCCTCACCAGATAATTTGAGAGCATTCCACCTGCCAATCGATACAGCAGCAGCAATAACAATAGCAACGTGTGCTGTACCAGCTGGATCACACAACCACAGGGGCGATTTGCAGTCTGTGTCATAAACATCGTTTGACTGATGAACGCAGTTGACAAACAAGTTGCCTCTAACTTGCCCAAACATGTTGTTACAGTCAGAATCCTGGTTTAGGAAAGGCTGATCAAGGGGGGGGGAGATAAAAAAATATTTTAGGACTACTTTATGTGGCAGTTAAGTGATGCATTTGAAACGCGGAACCATTTTCGTTTCGCCATGTTTCGCATTTAATTTATTTATTGAAAACTGTTTTGGTATTCAATGAATGATGCACTGAACAATCTTTTGGTCTATGCTTGTTTTGGGTGGTGATAGCCCGGTGGTAAAGTCGACAAATTATCATCCTGGAATTCGAATTCCACCAACACTGGCTGGCTTTTCCCATTATGCGTTGTATGGCAGCTAGCTCCCTGATTGGCCGCCTACCTCTTCCTGATAATTGTACCATTTTGTATTCAATGAAGGCAAGTAAAAATGAAAAAAAATGTTCAGGCCGGCAACAATACTTCCGAGTCCGTGAATTTTCTCAGTCAATGTCAATCTTCTAATGGGCACATAATCCGCACTTGAACTTTCTTTTATTACGGGTTCACTATTATCCAGCGCGAAAGTTGGGATCCTAGATCCCCTTGTGGAAGTTGTCGTAACCGCACAAAATTTCTGGATAATTTATTCTCAAAGGATCGACTTCCGGTAACGTTTCTTTTACAGATAGGAACTGCACAAGTATCGAAATAGAACACAGTCGGAGGGTGCAGGAGTTCGTTTATTATGCAACATCATGGCTACTTATAGGAAAGAGAGAGGACACGAAAATGAATATATCCACAGATTAGTTGATTGAATTTTTGACAGTTTTTTTCTCATTGGCTGGCGGTTCCAACGATTACCTAAGTTCACCAATCCTTGTTCTAACAAGTTGTCTCAAAGCAGTTTTCAGAGAACATGCTGTCACCCTGCCTGAAGTTTTCCAACGCGGAACTGGAGGGAGAGATTAGTGCAGAGGGTGATCCAGTCATAATTTCATAGAGGAATTCTGAAAACCAAGTTCCTAACTAGCCGTTTTACGTCCCAATTCTGTGTTTGTTTGTGCCTCATACTATACATTTTCTAATTCAAGTCAAGTCAAACGTACAAAACCTAACTGTATACGTAATAACGTAGATCTTCATGATATAATATTGTTCACTCGGTATGTCGCACTCCCTGACACTTACCTAATCGTTGACCGATGTGTGGGTTGTGAGCTATTGACGAACTTACATGCAATTTCGCATTAGGCTAATGAGGTTTCACCTAGTATGATACACATTGTTCACCGATGGGATAACCTACGTGAGGAACATACACATGTCAGCAATTCAAGACGGTGTCCTCTGATATGACAGTGTGCAAGCGCCCATTCATTGGAGAGAACTAGGTTGCGTTGCATATGCAAAATCAACCAGGTGCAACTCAGAGCTCTGTGAAAAATCATTTGGTGTGTCAATGCTATATCCAATCGGGCGATTATTGGAGACGTTTTCAACGTGGGTGCACCCCATTAAAGATACCTCCTAAAAATCAAGTTCCAGGCAGTTAATGGAGCGACAGGCTTTCTAGTATATGGGTGAAGCACGTTCATTTATTCCTCATGGAGACTATCGTTCAAGATAAGATGATTGAACTACCAAAAAATTGCATCCTAATGATTTCAAGTTTTCCGAAGGTTGGTTTCGCTCGTGTTTGACAGATAAGGTATTCAATCCTACAAAGCAGAAGACAAGCAACTAATGATTTTCAGATTTGCGGTGAAAGCTTCACAGTATCTCCTGATTCAGTGGTCGAGTTCAGAGCAGAGTTATCGCAACCGATCCATGGACATGACGATTTTAATGTTTTCAATGCCTATGAAGCACCTCCCGGAAAGAAAATTTATTCTCAAAAGACGAACAGTTTGTGCAAACAAAAAATCCAATGAAACGGTCACGCCACTGTTTTTAGGGGAGTACAAATGTTGAGAAGTTATCATCGCCTTTTATTGAAAAAAATTAAACTGCACGTTATGTCCGTGTTACAGATGACAAATGTGTGTCCTCCGAAAACGCATGTATGAGTTCTGCGTCCTTCCAAAGTTTTCTGTTCGACATTAACCGCAAGATGGTTTATTCAAGGACGGTCTATTCTACTATTTATCCCTAACGCCGCAATGTGAAAATGGATGAATGTTTCACACGGCATTCGTCATTCCTCTGACTGAGAAAAGTGGACAGGTCACTCGACAAGAGTCACTTTTATAGCTACGATTCTGGCCGAATTAGCCTCCTATAATGTCTGAGCACTGAAATGTTACCTCGTGAATCACGCTATAGCATCACGTGATAAGCTTTACCAGCCCCTAAGGTCATGATTAATAACGGTGGTACTTATGTCGACCGACGCAGGCCATCAATAATCTATCGATGGGCTTCAGTGGGTCACAGAAACAGCAAAAATAAAGTAACAACCACTAAGGTACAGATCACACAGCAAACAATGGGAGGTTGGGAAAAGGTCAGTCTACTAAGTATATCCAGTAGCAGTCATTTCATTTGATTTGATTTATTGGTTTATCTTTAATGCGTTTTTTGCCAACGCATTAGGTATTAGCTCACTCGTGTATAGTCTACTGTCTAAATACTCAACTAGGCTAAAGTCGTTTGTAATTTCTGAGATTAGCCTTACTTTGCACTTGAATAGAACACTATTCAAAATTGATGTATGGTAATTGTATTAACGAAAGTTCACCCAGGATGATTGTGTAATCGAGAGATAAAGCGACTAGAAACTGGGAAATTACTTTATTCCGAGTGGGCTGTTCTAATCTTGGGTTGAGGGTATCATATTTCAAAAGCTATAAGCATTGAGTCTGGGTACTATTCAACTGTTTGCCGATATGAAGTACATTTCCAAGCACTGTTGATAGAAGCTGTGAAGGCCATTGGAGATATATCCAAATGGAAAGTCCCCAGGATACTTGTGGATTATTGAGTCAGAAGGATTAGGAGAGCAGTTTATGTATAGGGGAAATTAATGAAGCAACTCAGTAATACAAAACGCTGTCACACTTCTGAGAGTAAGCCGGAATCACCTTCCAGCCAAAATATAACAAATAACCACAGAAAATATCTGTGGAAATAAAAAATAAATAGCAAAATTAGTAATTCGAAATAGCTTTCAGATCATTTTGGACTAGTGGGAGACTTTTACAAGATCCAACAGATCAAGCAAAATTAATCTTGAGCGAAACAGCCAAAACTAGTAAAATTTAAACGATAGCAATGGATAGTCCAACAAGGAGCGTTAAATTGTAACTGATGTCGTAATAAAACAGCAAGCAGCACTCGGTCCCATTCACATAAAGCACTTAAAGTGTCTGTTAAAAAACCTGCTCTATAGTAAAAAGGCAAAGGCTTTAATACCAAAATAATGACAGCAGAATATACAGTAGAATAGAGAAGAAAGGGAAGGAAATGCAGGTCACTCGTGAGGAATTTTCAATCTCATTTGATATTAAGGGCTGGTTAGAGGTAAGTGAATGAGATTAATTTGTTTTCCTAAATACGACTTTTGGCGTTGTTGCAAAATTGATAAGCAAGACAATTTTGAAGAATGATTTCGCTTTCACAAACCAACAGAAATATCCGTGGTTCGACCTGAGGCATTACACGTTATTAAAGAGCGTCACAGAGTTTGTAATTCAAACAAAGTCTATTTAAATTCATCTTCGAAAACATTTTATTCTATTGCAGGCTTTATACAATTGCACTCAATTGTTGACCGAGGCGCACGAATCTCAGGACGCTGGTGCGAAATACATCGTGCGCGATGTGTTTAAACGTGAGGGCTTGATTGGCCAGCTGCTGGAACGTTTGGCTGAACCGGTCAGCGGAGACACTGTGAGCACGAATGGCACAGTCACGAGCAGATCGTATGTGAGTACCTCGTCCTCGTATGTGGCGAAGAAAACCATGACAACCGAGACCAACATGGCCGGGGACGGGGTTAATGAGAACGTGGCCGTGGGCAGTAGNACAACCACAATTAGCGGGAGCACCAGTAGTAGCAGCAGTAATACGAGGATGCTCGAATCCTCGGCCACAACCACCAAATCCTCGACTTCTGCAGCAACCGTCCGGGCTAACCATCACAAATCGGCTCTTATCTCTGAGGCTGACAACCAGACCAGTACAGATCAACCGGATGGAGAAGCTACGGCCAAAACGGACGAGTCAGAGGAATTTACCGATCGACAATTAGTCATTCGTTCAGCCCAACTACTCAGTCAGGTAGCCTGTCGTTTCTATATCTGATTTCGTAGAAAAACGTTTTAATTGTCCTGATTTCAGCTAGACAACTTAAAAGACTGCTTTTGATGTCGCTTGGAAATCATGGAATCAATAGCGGATTTTGTCCCATCGTATATGTGTGTCGTTTATACTCTTTGAATTTTGTACAACCCGCCAGATGGTTCATTAAACTCGAAGACCTAGTTTGTCGTTCTCGGTTTTTGTCCACTTGAGGAAGGTTGCGTTTCAACAATTTCACAAACGAATAGTTTTTGTGGCGACAGAATATGCAATAGCTGGCTGGTATTACATATTAACACTTTGCTTTTAGGGATTGAGTTCATTATTTCATTATTTAAGCTGTCCGTCATCTGTATTCTTGAACGGTATCGACAGGCATAGACATCCAACTTGGTGTATGTCACTCTGTGTGAAACACAGTGGCACACCAACTCCCATTGAATTGCAGGTTCCATTTTGATATCTCCCCTACGAAATGACCGTTACTGTCCGGAAATATCTCAACTACGTAACCAATCTCATTATAGAAAGTTCAGTGAATATTTCTCACTGCGTTTAAAATAATATGGTAAAAATGAGTTTGCACACCAAACTCAACTGCTACAGTCGCTTAAAAGTAAAACAGTTTTCAGCCTTCTGTTGGAACCAAAGTACACATCCTGATTGATTTCGACTACCTCTCTTTCGGTTGAACTTATGAAGAAACACTAACTGTAATGCGATAGACCGGTGCATATCCATTCAGCCTCTATATGACTTTACCACGAACGGTTGTAGTGATTTTGCACTCCACCGCTTGGTTCCTTTGTTCCCATAACACTGGTTGGAAAAGATCAGCATCACAGTAACAGTATTTTGACTGTTGGAGAATAACAACAGATACCATAAAGCTGGGAATGATCACTTAATTTTGAACGCAAATGGAGAAATTTATTTGGATATAATGCGAGATGAAATGCTACTGGTAGTTTGTTTGAGTTGAAAGTGTTGTTGGTTGATGTTTCTTGTCTAGACTAGGCTAATGATATAACCTAACATTTCCACGAAAATTCTACAAACAACGCTTCAAGCTCAAAGAACCCACCAACATAACGGGAGACCGGTACTGCTTTGCACTGAAAGAAACAACAGAAATGCCTGTGTCGAAATGGGATGGGGGTTTGATAAGACACCTTCCAGCGATTTATGCAGTAAATCGTATAATTTGACTCATACCACACTCCTAGTCTCAGCGTCTGGAACGATCGAGCAGAATGGAAACGGAAGATAACAAACTTGGAATTTTAGAAGAACAAATTAGTTATAAAGAGGGTTTGTTTCTGGTAGAATCTCGCAGTAAAAAGTTACAAACAACTAAATGGTCTAGTAAACAATAATGTCTACTCTCATTATTTGCTGTCCACAATTTAAGTACTTAATGGACTAAATGTGCTGTTACTGCTCTCCCTTCCTCACACCGACTGCGTCTCATTCCCTGCGCAGATTCTTTCCGATGAGGATCTATACAGCCTTCTGTATACGGATGCAGATCAACCTGAGGCGGGAGATCAGCCGACAGGGGTGCAAAGGACAGAGGTGGCAGGCCACAGGCAACCGGATCAGGTGGATGCGACACCTGTCAACCTGTCCACCTTGGATGATCCTGATCCGAACCGGTCAAACAGTCACGTCTCAGATCGCCTGAGCTCGTTACTGCAGGGTGTCGTTCGTCAGAGTTGGAAACATAGGCGAGATGTGGACGTCTATCGTGCGTACATGGAAGTGATTGAGCGTAAGTAATCCCCTGTCCGATGTGACATAACACTATCGTGTCCTGTTCAAGCTACTACATTTTTGTCACTCACCGATTATACCGGGCTTTATGCTGAAGATGTGCAAACGGGTTTCGTTTTTGGTGTCGAGGCTATATTGTTTTCGTTGTTTTTGTTGTCCATATTGCCATTGGTTGGTTTTGGTGTAAACCACGAAGTTTCCACCTGTTTCTCCTTATACTATTATGCGGGTAAAATGGTTGGCCCTCTTGTTCGTATTAATTTTCATCTACTCTATGAAAATACTTTTTAAAGTTACTCATTCACTGAATTGCAACAGTAATAGTTACAACTAAATTACAAGCAAATAAACATATGTTTGCATTTACCTATTCAGCGTTGGAAATGAAACACGATAGCAAATGAATTGGAGTTGGAACTATTCCACGTACTTCAAACAAAGTGAAGAGTTGGTGTGCAAGCAACACTCATAAACTGTCTTATTTTTTTCCCACTCTCACACAGAAGTGTGCAGAATGTTGAACTTATTTTGCTTTTTGGGTCTCAGCAGAATTTTAGTATTTTAGATTATTTAGTTTTTCATGTGATCACCCAGTCAGCTTTGGACAGTACATCATCAGTCCTACCGATAGCGTCTTGAAGCGGATTACTCGTCACCAATACCGACACCAGAACCAACTTGCGGAGCAGAAATACATGCAAACATACTAGGAATTTGTTGGCTCAATTATTCCATTTCAACCCACAATGACATTCTGTTCAGGAATGCCATACACTTCGAATGTGAGAACGTTTATTTATTATGTGATCACTGTGTTAGTGTAGCGTTTTACTCTGCACATTTCCCCTCGAGATTGAATCCAGTTAGTTGAAAAAAGTGGCCATGCTGCGAACTACTGAGGACTATGAGGATTGAGTTTGATTTTCAGTACCACAACATTCTGGACGATAAATGGCACCTATGTTATCACATTGGGATTTACGATTAGTTTTCTTCGCTTCATTATACCGTGATCATAGTTACTTTATAAACAACCCAATTTGTGATTTACAGAAGGTTGCTCACATTCCGCATGAGTGGTACAACAAAAAAGCATACAGCAATCGAGACAAGCTCAACTGAAGCGAGAAAAGACTTCGCATAAACATTTGGAAATAAGCACTCAAATCGTATGACTTCTTGGGATCCTACATGGTATGTTTGTGCTGTTCTGAGTGCGTATAGCAAACACATGTGCAGTACACGTCAAAGTTTACATGTTTCACAGATCATTATGTGTCCTTGCGTGATGAAAAAAGCCAGTTTATACTGGATCTTGACTGATTATTGCTCAGATTTACTCTGCACTCGATGCACAATGCAGCCAATTAACCATACATTTGAAGTGAATTACAAATTCGTTTTTTAATTTCATCTTAACTCATAAATGGCACATGCCCTCCGACACTTCCAACGTTTTAATCCAAATTCAAATTCAAATTTCAAATTTTTATTATGGGATATAACTTACAAAGACTTCGCTTTTTCAAATCCCATAGGGTGTTTACACTTTGGTTCGGAACACGATTCACAAT